GGGATTCTGAGAAGAAAAGTAGGTGGTTTGGGATATATTATATTACTTGCGTTTGATTTGTTTTTATTAGGATATCATAAATTGGGTTGTAACTATCAGTTAAAGCTTTGTTCAATTGTAGATTTTGCTTAGTTAATTCCTATATGTGGAAGCTTTCTAGTGTATTCAACATCTTTCCTTTCTTTTCTATGTGGAGTATTTCCATTGCTTTGTCTATGGTATGATAATTATGCGTTGTGTCCAGTATATGCTGGGCGAATTTTGATCTCTGCCCATTCATTTTTATTTCCCTGATGTGTTCTTTGTATCTTGTTTGGAAGTTACGTCCTGTTTGGCCGACGTACTTTAGGTCACAATCTTTACACATCATCTGATATATTCCACAAAGGTTGTATTTATCTGTTGTTTCATGTTTTGTTCTTAGAAGCTTTTTTATTGTATTATTTGTTTTGAAAGCTATTTTTATGTTGGTATTACGAACACACACTAATTGCTGACATTCTAAAGAAGCATCATATTATTGATTATTATAGATACGTAGATGACATATTAATATTCTACAATACACAAAAAACAAACATCTTTAACACCTTAAATGAATTTAATTCAATGCATCACAAACTTAAGTTCAAAATGGAACAACAATCTCAAAATAAACTAAATTATTTGGACCTAACAATCATAACAAATAACAACGAACTAAAATTTGAAATATACAGGAAACCTACATCTACCGACCTCATACTGCATAATTCTTCATGTCATCCATACGAACATAAAAAGGCAGCTATCAACTACCTTCGCAATCGAATAAATACATATAAGCTCACCAACGAAGGAAAAATAAAAGAAGAAGGTATTATAACTCGTATACTTGGAAATAATGAATATTCACCATATGCAAGAGATCACAATACGAAACCACCTAATAACACTCCACAGAAGAAAAAATGGACCAAATTTACATACTTCGGCCCCAGGATTAGAAGAATCACTAAGCTATTTCGTAATACCAACATAAAAATAGCTTTCAAAACAAATAATACAATAAAAAAGCTTCTAAGAACAAAACATGAAACAATGGATAAAATACAACCTTTGTGGAGTATACCAGATGATGTGTAAAGATTGTGACCTAAAATACATCGGCCAAACAGGACGTAACTTCCAAACAAGATACAAAGAGCACATCAGGGAAATAAAAACGAATGGGCAGAGATCAAAATTCGCCCAACATATACTGGACACAATGCATAATTATCATACCATAGACAAAGCAATGGAAATACTCCACATAGAAAAGAAAGGAAAGATGTTGAATACACTAGAAAGCTTCCACATATATGAATTAACTAAGCAAAATCTACAATCGAACGAAGCTTTAACTGATAGTTACAACCCAATTTATGATATCCTAATAAAACAAATCAAACGCAAGTAATATAATATATCCCAAACCACCTACTTTTCTCCTCAGAATCCCACCCCTACCCGCAACCCCCCCACCACTAATACCCTACAGGAACCAACCTAACAAACAAGACACATCAGTAGCCTTCATGACAAGGAACGTAACAGATCCAGCATCAGAGGACATGAAATAGCAACGAGACCTTCAAAAAGTGAAAGCACAGCCAATATGATAAGTTGAACTTTAATTCAAGAACTTTTTAACCAGTGGTAATAATATAACTAGTTAAAGTGAACTATACAGAGAGGAAACAAATTGAATGTGAAAGTACAACCCGTGATCGAAATTGAACTTTGACTCATGAAAAAAAAATTAAATTTTTTTAAATTTTTAAATTTTAACTTTTAACATTCGAATAGTATTTTAACTTGTATTTTATAAGAAGAACTTGACATATATTATTGAGCGTAGGCCTGAACAGGATACAGG